TTTAGAAGCTTTTGTGACCCATTCATTGTTACAATTAAATTATACCAAAAATTATCTAATTTTTGACTCAATCTGTCAAACTGTTTAAAGCATTCTAGCACTCCATGTTTTGAGCAGAAGTCTTTAAATTCTTTTAAAAGCTCATCACACTCGGTATAGCTTAACCATTTTTTTTCTTGAAATATCTCCAAAACAATTTCTAACCTTCGTAACGCTTGACTTAATGAGTAGGACAAAAGTTGTGGATCACAAAAAGTTATACCTTTGCACAACTTATACTTAATAGGTGACTTAGCTATAATTTTTTGACAAATTAACTTAAGTATAATAACACAATCATCTTTAAAAGATTTTATTTCAAATTCTTTAATTTCTTTCTGTTTCTTAAATTCAGATCTTACAACAAACCCTAATTTTAAATTCTTAGGCAAAATAATGTTTGCATTGTTATTAAGATTTATTCGATCTATACTTGTTTCTTTTTCTAAGACTTCCTTTTTTACAAAGATATTAATTAAGTCAACAAGCAAACAAGTAAGATCAGTATACAAATACGGAGCTAATGGTGCATCATTTTGATATTTCTCCAAAAATGGTTCAATTAGTTTTGACACATAACAGAAAAAAGCCAACCTAACTGGCATGCATTTATCATTCAATCCTTCTACAACAACTTTGTAACTGTAAGAAAGGATTTCTTTTTTGTCTCTTTCCAAACTTTCCTTGTATTTCCTTAAATATGGCAGCATTTCTAGTGCTCTTTCTGTAACTTTTGAATTATTTAACCATCTTACTGGACAAAATTTTAAAGGCATCAATGAACTACCTGAATATTATAAGAAATCACTTTTCCGAGCAGGACTATCTTTAAACAAATTATAAAGTGCTCTTAGAAATGTTACTACATTCCATTTTACAGCATAAAAAGAAGTTTTGAAAGCATTGTTAATAACATGCAAACCACAAGTTCCCATAAATAACACAACAGGATCATCTTCATCATGAGATTGAAATAAATCTATCTGTAGATCTTTAAAGAATTTGATATTAACATTTGGACCATCCATTGAAATTTGAAGTAATTTTTTCAAATTTAAATCTTTTAGTTCTGCTTTGAAAGCTTGAATTAAATCGTGAGAGGTAGCATGTCCTAAAAATGCAGAACTATAATAATGAGTAGCTACCTCCATTTTTATTTGTACACCAAAAGCGAATTGCTATATCCATTTGCTGCTTCTGAGAATATTTATTTAAGCTCTCATCAAAATAAACTACAAAACAATCACAGTGATTGATTCTTTGCTTTAGCTTCTCAAATATATTGCTAAACCATAAACAATCATATATGATATCTTAGTACGACCAAGCTCCATGGCTGATACAATTTTGCTGTCCGGAAACATTTTGGAAAAAATCTGCACTGCCTTGCCAGCAGAAGAGATAGATAAATGATTCCTTACAGTAAAAAGACACCAAATAATCTCGGCTCGATTAACATCATCTTTCAATAAATATTTATCAAGTCCATGGTATGACGTAGTAGCAGAAGCGAATAGTTTTTCTTGATTAGAAGCTGGCAACTTCTTCATTGTATTAGAAGTAGGTTCTCTGGATACTGAAATGTCGTTTGCCGAGACAAAAATTTCATTTGGCTCATCTTCATTCCTTGAAGTATTCTTTCCAATCAAAGAATTGGGACCTATATCAAGTTCCTAGACATACAAATAATGCTCTCATCACTACTCAACGAATTTTTGTCTAACGAAATATAAGATTGTATCTCGTCCGACAATATCGAAATACATAGATCAAATATGAAAGTAATTTTAATGATTGACTACGGTTTTTAACATAGATCCTTTAAGATATAAAATCAATTAGAAATTAAAGAGGTCGTTTAGGACCGGGCATAGGTGTAAGTAGCCAGTTAAATTAAATTATTAAGTGAATTCATATACCATATTGGTTTTCAGGCTTTCGCGGCTGTTGTCTTCTTTAGTCATGGCTTCCGGATGGTTGCCGCGTCTGTTTGCAGTGTGGTGCCGACGTTTCGCAGGCGTTGCAGTCTGCTTCATCAGGGCTGGGAGTCTCTGTGAGACTGAGCTCCCTCGCGTTGCGCTGGTCCTTTCAGGCTGGGAGTCTCTGTGAGACTGAGCTCCCTCGCGTTGCGCTAGTCCTTTTATGCTCGCTGGGGAGGAAGGGAGGGGGTAGTCCGGTAGATGGCGTGGTCAAAGGGAGGGGGGTCAGCCAATCCCAGCTGACGGTTTTTTAAAAAACCGGGAGGGCGGTGTGCCATATCGGGCTCACCTGATAGCCTTTGTCGCGATTCAGATTGTCTGGGTGTTTCAAGATTTCTATGCCTTCGCGGTGTTTCCGTGCGAAATAGCTTTGGGACGGGGCCAGCATGGTGGCTTTGCAAAAATGAAACCACACACGCAAACAGCAGCTCCTCCCCTGACAGTAAAGAACCTTAGTAGTCAGACCCTTTCACCCGCCGAAACAGCCATCCTTGCCAAAGGACACAACTTTGCAGTCACCCCTTCCAGGATCCCGACAGAAGAGATCATCAGCCAAATAGAAACCGCCATCTTCCAACTCCCACCTGAAGCAGGAAACAACATCAGACAGCAGTCAGCCCAGATCCTCCGAAAAGCCAAACCTCCCACCCAAAACATTAACAGGGAAGAACGACTAGCGCTTCGGAGCCTAAGACAGAATGACGACATCCTCATCCTACCGGCGGACAAAGGCAACGCAACAGTGGTGATGGACAAAAGAGACTACCACAACAAAGTCAACACCTTGCTGTCCGACGCCCAAGTCTACAAAAAACTAAAACGCGATCCAACCACTAGCT